CAAACCTGTAAAAATCGAATTCGTAAAATTAATTTAAAAGAAATTAAAATAAATATATATTATATACATAAAAATACCTACCAAATAGAACCGGGGGAACGATACGGATCTAGACGAGGTCGGAGACGACGTTCTGCAGATGCTAGAATCTCCTGCAACGATGCCGATGGTGATGCACCATGACTAGATGCACCTTCATTCACGGATTGGGGGGAAGCCGCACCCGTGAAAGGTACATCAAGTCGAGGAGGATCGACTACCACCTGATCCCGATGGACAGATGGTGATCTAGATGATCCGATCCCACGTCCTCGGGATCGTACCCCGCTACCACTACGACCACTAGAATGGGAGTGACTCATCTACAAATTACATATAACAAAACAAAATCATGAAAACCTGTGAACTAGCAGTAAACCCTAACCCTAAACCCTAAATACTAAAAAAGCTATCTGAAACCCTAAATAAACCCTAAAATCTAGCGACGTGTTTTTAAACCCTAAATAAACCCTAAACCCTAAACATAACCCTAAACCGTAAAAGTAACCATAAACCCTAAATAAACTCTAAACCCTAAAAATAAACCCTAAACCCTAAAATAAAACCTAAAATCCTAAATTCACCCTAAACCCTAAAATGAACCCTAAACCCTAAATAAACCCTAAACCCTAAAATAAAACCTAAAATCCTAAATTCACCGTAAACCCTAAAATGAACCCTAAACCCTAAATAAACCCTAAACCCTAAAAGTAACCCTAAGCCCTAAATGAACCCTAAAATCTACAACTAACCCTAAACCCTAAACATAACCCTAAACCCTAAATAAACCCTAAAATCTAAATTTATTTTTAAACCCTAAATAAACCCTAAACCCTAAACATAACCCTAAACCCTAAATATAATATTAACACTTAGAATCGACACGAAAAACACTGTAAAATCGAAAGAATCGATCCATAACATCGGTGTCGGCGGGGGACGGGGGGGGGGGGGCGCTGCGGTGTCGAATCGAAAGAATCGATCCATAACATCGGTGTCGGCGGGGGACGGCGGCGCGGTGACGCTGCGGTGTCGATGGGAGACGGCGGAGCAGTGGTGCGGCAGTTTCGGTGGGAATCGAACCACGAATCTGTTGAAATTCGATTCGAAAGAATCGAACCATGAACCTAAACCCTAAACCGTTCGGAAATGGGAATAAGAGGGGAGTCACGAGTAGGGAAACTTACCTGTCGGGCGGCGGGGGACGGCGGCGAAGCGAACGCGGCGGGCGGCGGGGGACGGCGGCGAAGGAGAAAGATGTTTGGAAGGTTTTTTTTTGCTAAGTGTCTGAGGAAGAAGACGATTCGCGATGTTTTTACCATTGTTGCGACAGATTTATTCTGTCTCAATCTGTCGCTGTGTCATTAAAGTGGGAGACACGTGGACATTGCGACAGATTAATTATGTCGCTTTCCGTCGCAACGAAAAAAAAGCGGGAAACGCAGATGCCGACATTTTGCGACAATGTTGCGACAGATATTTCGGTCGCAACATAATATAATAATTAAAAAAATAAAATGAAAAAAAATTACGATAACTAATATTTTGATTTCGAGTACAATATTTGTAATACAAATCGGTATTTCATACATAAAAAGTTATTATTAATCAAAAGAACCATATTCAGAAGTTCCTGTTGTTTTTTCGTCCGACTCATCGGTATTATCCTGCTCTTCGTCATTATTGTCTGCAAGTTCTTCAACTACTCCTTCTTCGGCTATTAACTTTCCAACCTCAATCGTGTCTTCAATTTGAAGAATGCCTTGATCGACATCTTGAAGCGGGATTTGTTCATCATTTTCTTCTTGAATAATAGTTCCCCTGGGGTTGATCTTGCAAAATCAGGAAATACCTGTTGAAAGTGTTTCCATGCTAAACCATCGGATGGATGATGCATTTCTCCATCAGGCGTCGAATGCTCGCCATGCCATCGCATAAATGATGCTGTCTTTTCGGATTGATATAACCTTTTCAAACGATCTGTTATAGGCATATAAAACATTCTCTTCAAAGGAATTAACTTGCCTTTTTTTGAAGCTTTCCGGCGTGGTCGATATCTGTCTTTCCCGCAGAAACGACATTCCATCAATTCTGCATCTTCTTTCCAAAAAATCATACAGTTGTCTTCACAAACATCAATCTTCCGGTAAGGTAGACCCAACGTACGCATCAGACTCTTCGTCTCATAATATGATTCTGTTGCAGTGTTACCTTTCGGAAGATATTGTTTAAACATCTGACTGAAGCCATCCATACATCTCTCCAGAAGATTGTAGTCAGTCTTCATATTCATCAATTGTGAAGATAATGATAATCTTGACAGCCCTTGTACGCAACCTTCATATATCGGAGTGTTCGCCGTATGAAGAAGGAGCAACGTTGGGAAATGCATCATTCACCATCTCTGCATATAGATTTCGGTCTTGATCTTCTTGAAAGATCGGAGGTAGCGACGTGTTTTCCACAAGTTGTTCTTGCATTTGTGAAACACGTGATGATGACGACGTATCATACGTTTCTCCATGAGCCAACCAAACATAATAGTTTGACATAAAACCTCTTCTATAAAGGTGCTTACACACTTCATACTGACTTCGCCATCTTTTATTCTCGCATTTTGAGCACAGACATGGTAACTTCGAACTCTCAATGTACGACGTTTGACTTGTTGCAAACGCCATAAAATGTTGTAATCCTTCAGCAAACTCACTCGAGATTTGATTAGAAGAATCAAATCTATTATACATCCACATTCTGGATGAAAAAGACATTTTTTTGTAAATAAAATTTTTTTTCGTTAACAATTTTTTTTTCCTATGTATGCATGCTCATCGCGCGGCGGATATATAGGAGGGAGTTGCGACGAAATTGCGACCGATATTTTCTGTCGTAAAATGAATTGCGACCGAAGTGCGACAGAATTGCGACAAAAGTTAGGTGACATACCATTCACGTGTGTACCTAATTTTGCGACACATCGGTGAGTCGCAAGTCAGTCGCAAAT